TCTCTGCCTCTCCCTCTCTCACTGTCTAACTCTATTCATAAAAAAATAGGCTCCAAAGCCTTGGTAGCTCATGAAGAAAGCCTCAGGCGATTACTGACATCATAAATAAGAGTGTCAATTGTTAAATCAAAAACAGGAGTTACTGTACACTTGCTTCTATATAGGACCTCTGTCCTTAATGTGTTGTACTATGAGAATTAACGGTAAAACTAATCTTCAAACAGGACTTGATACTTTGTGTGTCTGTGTGGGTGCAAACTGTTGTAATTTTACTTAGTATAGAGTTGATCTTCTGTATATAAAGATAATAAAATGAATCTGAGTGAAGAATGGGATGGGAGAGGGATTAAGAGATGGATGGTATGCTGATGGGAGGGTTGTTACGGGAGGAAGAACCACTGTAATCCAAAAGCTGTTCTTTTGAAATTTACATTTGTTAAATAAAAGTTTTCTATAAAAAAAGAATGTAGAAGATATGTGATAAATATGAAAGAAATAGTTAAGCAAAAAAATGATGAATAGATCTGGGTGCCAAATTTTTTGAAATTCATGCATAATGTTTCATAACACACATTTTCAATACATTTTTGAAGCCTTCTCATTGCATGGAATTCATCCTTTCCAGTCCCAACCTTTGTTCAGTGAATCTTGTGCATTCAGATTGACTCTACTTTTAGTTTCTACACATTAGAGAGAATGGGAGATGTTTGCTCTCTGATTTAGATTTACTTTTCTTGTTTAACTAAATAGATAACAAGTTTTGTCATTGTACTGGTAATAAATCTAACTCATCAAGACATTATATTTTCAATTTTATGCAAGTCAGTGAATTTTCTGTGTTTTGTTCCTATACTTCATCTCAATTTGCATGAATCTGTATTCAAAATCTCACTAATGGCATCAGAGCAGAGACTAGGCAATGGAGAATGTGTTTTGCTTAAAATATTGGGGAACTCATTGATAGAAGTTTGAGTTTAGGAAACTTCTGAGTGGAATAACAGAGTTCTCTTCCATGCTCTCTTGTTTACCTCCTCATTAGATTTACTCCATTAGTGATACCTCACACTGATATGCAAGCACAAATGATTAGTCAGTGTTGATCATCATTACTGCTTACAAGACATGCTATCCATTTTGTTCAGTTGTGTTGTGCAGTCTCTTGGTTGTGCAAAGTGTTAAAGGTATGTAGCTGCTCTGATGGTGTCCTACATGAGTCCTTAAAGTCATTTACATTCAAGAAGTACAAGTATCTGTATGCATCATCCTGCCCTTGGTGTTTGTCGTGGTGGGAATAAAGTGATGACTTCCAGCTAGTATTGTCTGCCTTATAGTAAAAAGTGAGAAGTACTCAAATAGTCCCTAGTTCTCATGAGAGTATTAACCAAGGTTTTAGTGTGAAAACAGTTACCATGAGATTACCATGGTTAACAGCAATGTGGAAGGGTTTGATATTTACAAGTAAGGATGTGATGATTTGACATATAGAATGAAACTCCTGAATTCAGGGTGATTACTGGTTCCACAGTGCTTGAGAATCAGAAGGCCTATTGGGTATCTTTGTAAACAGGATCTGCTTTGGGTCTGTGTGGCATCAAGGCAATGTGTGGCTCCCCAGAACATGGGGTCTGGAGGCTGCCCTATTGTTCTTTGGGTCTTTGACGTCTGTTACACTGGAGTTTTCTGGTCTGAAAACTTTCTGAGAAACTCACCTGATGCCTCTTTTCATGCCCTCTGATGCAATCCAGGTACATAATTGCCAAAAGTTCATGGAGAGGTTTATTGACAAAGCCCATGGACCAAATGTAACTAATAGAATTTATGCCCTTGAGTCTTTGTACCCATGGACTTGGAGGAAATACTTGCACCTGGGGTGAAGAGGATGATTCACAAACATGTTTTCCTTCTTGTGTTTTTCATCAGGACAGAAGCCCTGAGCTGCAGAGCCTCAGGGTAGAAAGGGTTCCAGATTCCCACATGGACGAATGGACAGATGGTAGAAAGAAAACAGATTGAGCAGTATTAAAATGGCTTGATTCAAGGAATAACACACACACACACACACATACATGCTATTTGTATGCACATGCATGACCCTTCAAGTTCCACTATGGTTGTGTCCTAGGGTTTTCACAGACTTTGAAGATGTTCCCTTTGAATTTTCTGTTGCTCTTTTTGCAATTGTGTCTCCTTGTGACTTGTCATGATGATCAGAACTGCTTTTTCCAGATGGAACGGAGTTATTACAAGGATGGAGATATTGAGATCGCTGCTTTTTTCCCCATTTACATATACCTTGTGGACGGAATGATTAATATTTTCAAAAACCATATCACATTCAAAGGGTAAGTTCTCTTTGCCATAATCATTTTCCTTGATTTACATAATAGATGCTTGCTATTGGGTCTGCAGATGGATAGACACATACGTTGTGTGTCCCTGCCCTTTCCATTTCTGTCCCACCTAAAAAGTTCTGATAATTAACTTGGGACATGTGGAAGACATTTATTTCTGCCTGGCACATTGAATTGTTCAGGGAAATGTTATCTCATCATACGAGAAAGGAGAGTCTGGTTGGGATCTTCTTGTCCTTCTCTGTCCATGTTCATCAGCTCAGGGGCCTATTGTGCCTCAGTAGCAGGTTCTTACAGAACCCATGCACTGAAATGAACAACCCTGAGTTACATGATCTCTTCCACATGTGCTCACAAACTTTTCTGCTACATATTAGATTTGGGGCCATGAGCTCACTTCATTTCTTCTACAGTCAAAAAGGAGAAAAGATATTCAAGAAAGTAAGATTTTACTAGGTAAAAGTAACCTCAGGCCACAAGTATAATAATAATTGTATGTTAATGATGAATATACCCATAAGAACTGTAATGGTTGGAATCTACACATTCAGGATGCACCCCTGATTCTTTTTCTGGAAAAATACATTTCAGAAGAGGGATTATTCTGCTCTGCCCATCTTTAAGATACGGTCTACCTGTAGCTAAATATAAATGTTTCATATATATTTATATAGGAATATTTCATGCCTCCAGAATATAGTATCTTGTAGGACAGTGAAATTGTTTTCCTCACATCTGTTTATTTTGGTGCTAATTTCTAATTGGTTTCTACTGTAAGCTATAAAAGTAGGTTGATGATACATAGATCTTTGATAGAATGTAGATATTAGGACATATTTCATTGCAGTATCATTAAAGCCAATGGAATTGAGAACTATAGTTGGTGCCACAAAGGTGAGACAACTGATCAAGTATTTTAGGCATTTGTCCTAAGTTCTATCCAGAAAAAATCTAATGGATACCAGCTTGGTATAATGATATTATTCACTTCACATGATTTTTATGAATTTGCCTATTTTGATAGTGCACATGACATCCCAATTATGAAATATTTATTTATTATTAGTATTGGTATTTCCCATGGTTATGCATGCAGTACATCATTTACATGTACCCTAAATGATGGAGACCAGAAGAGTGTAAATTTCCCATAGTAGGAATAGAGTCTATGAATAGAGCCCAGGTTCCTCCAAGATGTATACCTTGCCAACTGGAGATCATAACCAAATCTTAGCAAACCCAGGAGAAAATGCCTGTGTTAATGATACTTGGGAATATAGTATAAGATTCAACAACTTTAGAATACCCAATAATTATTTATAAACTGTTCTTAGAGATAAGAAACACAACATAAAACAGATTGAAAAGGCAACTCTCAAAAATGCACAGTGTGTCCAAAAATCTTTTAGAACTTTTCTACCAATGGCAGCGGGAATAAGAAATGAGAGGTTAAGGAATTGATGGAAATGTCAAGAATGAGGAGGGGAACAGAGAAATATGAACTACAAAATGGAATATTATTTGATACTCTTAGCAAGGATTTTTAAAGTTCTTCATTATATACAAAGTATGAGTGAAATATTTGGATAACAAATATTTATAGAACTTAAATTTATATAAAACAATAGATATTGAGCAACTCTTTACATGGTAATGGATACCTATATATAAATATATAGGCAGAATATGTATATAATATGCATGCATACATACATATTATGTTGCAACATGAACCAAGAAAAGAAAAACTGTCACTTCCTCTGGGGCACACAGTGACCCTTAATATCAGTGTCCATGACCTAGTCTATTCATAATGACTCAACACACAGTAAATCTGAAATACATACAAGGGGCTCCTCATTTACACACTTTGTGAAATGTCAGAACCTGGAAAGTAGAAATGCTTCATGTTCTTTGCATGGAAGGATATTTATGTTTGGTTCTGTAGGGAAAATTGGGTGAATAAGGCCAGTTTGGAGTATATACTCATACCACTGATAATGATTTACTTTAATATATACCTAGTGTTCAAAATAAATGCATGACTGTCTTAGTTGTAAAGCATTACAAATCCAACCGGGGAGTGTTTCAGGCTTTTCTAAAGTGTCCCTCCCTTTTCACTGATTTCCTTCTTTCAAGCTCTGAATCTGATTTCATTTTCCTGGCTTGTGATGGTGGTTGATGGGTGAGTTTGTTGGGGAAGAGATTTTCCAGGATATATCCAGACTTACATCTACCATTCTCAGTGCTTTGACGTCATCCTTCTATGTGATCACATAGCCTTCAGTTGAGTTACTCTCTTTTCCCATTACAACCTGCAGCCTTATGATCATAGGACTCCTATTTCAAGAAGCATATAATGATGTGATAAGATGAAGCATCATTGTAGTTTCCAAATATAGGAGTATTTGTAGAGGCAGTGCTAAAGATGCACCTTTCCTTGTCAAGTTTTCTTTGAAACATGAATGTTCTTTCTAGGTGTGCATAAACTTTTGAAAGGGCATTCCAGAGCATATTATAGTATTTAGATATCAAATATAAAAACTTAGAAGATGTAGTTGTTGCCAGAGATGATTTAAATTGATAGGTTTATATTAAAAATAAGATCATTTTCTTTGGCTGCATGGACAGCCATGTGATAACATGCCCAAGACATTATAATGTAAAAGCAGATCTTATTTTCAGAATCATTTTGGCTGGGAGACCGAGATCAAGGGAGTAGCAGCTATGGTTCTGGTGAAGACATGTGTCCTGCAAATGCAACACTCTTAACATGCTGTCCTCAGCCAATGTGCAGATAATCATTAGAACATATGAATCTTTGGCCAAGACCAATCCATCTGTTACAGTTATTACAGAAGAATTGATGATAATCTGGATTTGAGGCTTCTCCCTTAAAGATCCTTGTGCATTTCATACAGGTTTCAGTCCAAAAACTACCAGTATGTTCTGGCCTTGGTTTTTGCTATTGAGGAGATCAACAAGAACCCCCAGCTTTTACCCAACGTGACCTTGGGATTTGATCTCTATAATGTCATGCACAGTGACATGATGGTGATGCAGAATCCCTTCATCTGGCTTGCAGGACTGGAAGAGGATGTTCCTAATTACATGTGTAGGAAACAGAGCAAGTCTGTAGCTGTAATATCAGGAACAAGCATTGCTGTCCAAGTAGGGACACTGCTGGAACTCTACAAAATTCCACAGGTGAGTGTGTAAGTGAAAGAGAGGGATAAAACACATCACCTGAGGTGCCTGACTTAGACCCAAAAATTTAAGTGACAGAACCAAATACACTTGCCACAGCATGTGATCAAAAGTGAAGGTGTATAGAGATTAGGTGGATTAGCCACATATTATCAGAAGCAGAGTGTTGGCAAGTGAAAAGGAGAAATGTTTTCCTTAATCTGTGAATGTAATGTCTCAGGAACTAGGATGTTTTCATGCAGGGGGATGAGAAAAATGAAATATTGTAAAATCTTCTGATGCTTCCATCATCTGCTTAATTTCTTCAGGAGTAAGATAGTACACTATGGCAATATCCTTACACATATTTCTTGCATTTTCTCTTAGCTGACTCTTGGGTCTTTTGAACCACTTCTGAGTGACAGTGGTCAGTTTCCTTCCCTCTATCAGATGGCACCCAAAGACACTTCTCTGGCCCTTGGCATAGTCTCCTTGGTGCTTCATTTCAGCTAGACATGGGTGGGTTTGGCCATCTCAGACCTCCCAAAAGGTATTCAGTTTATGTCCAATTTGAAAGTAGAGCTGCAGAAGAATGGCATCTGTGTGGACTTTGTGGAATTGATCCCAGTCACTGAGGAGTCACCTATTTCACTCCAGAATAGGTTTCATATCCAGATCCTAAAATCATCAGCAAATGTGGTGATTCTTTTCTGTGACACTGATTCACTCATAGGTGTCAGCTTTCCAACATGGGAACGTGTAATGACATGGAAAGTCTGGGTCACCACCTCACAATGGGATTTTGCCAGCGATGAGCATCATATCCTGCTCCACTCATTCCATGGGACTCTCATTTTTTCACACCACCATGGTGAGATCTCTGGTTTCAAAAACTTTCTTCAGACAGCTAATCCTTCAAAATACCCAGAAGACATTTACCTCTTAAGATTCTGGTCATTGGTTTTTGATTGCTCAGTTACTGGGGCATCCTGTAAAACTTTGCAGAACTGTCCACTGAATGCCTCCTTGGAATCCTTGCCTCCACATCGTTTTGATATGAGCATGAGTGATGGGAGTTACAACATATATAATGCTGTGTATGCTGTGGCCCACAGCGTACATGAGATGCTTCTACAATTGTTAGAAATGCAGCCAGTGAACAATGGGGCAAAGGTGGCATTTTCTCCCTGGCAGGTAATTTGGTTTCCATTGTATGACATGTACTCCTGATGTGATCCCCTTAAGAGCTTTTGCCTGTGTTCAAACCAAGTAGCTTGGGAACATTTCTCCAATCACAAGATATATATGAGCCTCTGCTTGTAATTTGTCATAAGACACAGGGTTCCATTGACAAGTGGGAAGGTAACTTGGATAAGCTTCAGTGTTGTGTCTTAAAAAGTACTCTCCCATCCTGTCAGTTTAATTAGGACTTGTGAATACCTAGACTCTGTCATTCTGTTTTCAGTCTCAACGGTAACAAATTATTACTTTTTAGTGTCAAATATTGTTGAGTATGTTCATCCACAATATACATAAGACATCTCATTAAATTGCATATTTTTTATCCTGGTAACTGTACTACAGATGGTTGTCCTAGGTACACTGAGAAAATAAGTGAGTGTTGGTAGCATGGAGTCCACAGTTGGAAATGATCAGAATCTCACAGTTAGATATTTTTGATTGCCCTAGTTTTTAGATGAAAATGAGTGAAATCATACTTACTTTGATGTAGTTCTCATCAGGTTTTTAGTTTTAATTCATTGGGTAGCTATAAAAAGTTCCCTTTGTTTATTTGTGATTACAGACAAAAGGCTTTCTCTAACCTGGGTTTGATGTGTTATTGCTTGGGCAGTCTTCATGTGAATATGATGTATTTTTTCAGTTGCACCCATTTCTCAAGAACCTCCAAATTACCAATCCTGTGGGTGACCTAGTGAATTTGAATCACATGACGAATTTGGAAGCTGAATATGACATTCTCAACTTTTGGAATTTTCCATATGGTGTTGGACGTAAGGTTAAAGTAGGACAGTTTTCCCCTTACGCCTCACAGAGCCAGAAGTTGTCTCTCTCTGAGAATTTGATAGAATGGGACACAGGAATTACAGAGGTAAGTTGCACCTGATCATAAGGTTCACAATGCACATTGTTACCCACAATTCATATGGGGATTTGTGACACTTGGCTTATTAAATACACACTTAGAGACATTAAACTACACCCCTTCCAATCTAAATACTTTCTTATGTTTTTAGTGTCTGAGGTTGGACAGTACACACACTTGTTCCTCCACATGTTTTGATTCCATTTATTTAGAAAATCAAATTGGATGCAATCATTTTGTCAGAAATAGGTATCTACAGCTTAAGAGAACAGGTTGTGCAGGACTTGAAAACCCTCTACTTGGAATAGAAGTAACATTCCCAATATGACCAATATTCATTTGATTTTTCTCAGACTCCACGTTCAGTATGCAGTGAGAGTTGCAGCCCTGGATTCAGGAAAGCCTCTCTGGAGGGAAAGCCTACCTGTTGTTTTGATTGCACACCTTGTCCTGAGAATGAGATTTCCAATCAGACAGGTAAGTCAGTGCCAGCCTCATGGAGAAATTAAAACCTGTTTCTTAAAATATTCCTCTTCTCCATGGAAAGAAAAGGATGTGGAGTATGACTGCTGAGAAGATTCTTTTCACCTTCTGGTAGAAGTTAAACCTTATATTCAGTAATAACCCTTAAAATGATAAAAGTTTGCACACTATACTTTACTGCATATAGTATTTGCAAAATCATTTTGGTAAATTCACGTCTGTGTTCCTTGTACATGAATAGATAAAATGCTTTCACCTAATTCAAGCATAGCATGCTTGGAGTGAGAAAGCACAACTCTCATCAAACTGTGTGTAATTTGAAAAACTGTATTAGAAATTATACAGTATATCATGCTGAGGATAATACTCATCAGATATCATAAACGAGCTAACCTTAGCCTTGAGCAAAATCATTGCATATCAAAATATAAATCTTCAGGAACATTCATATGCTTACACTCATACACACTCATGAGTAAAATTTATTTTGAAAGAATACAGGCTGACATCCATGGTAAGGTCAGAAATCCTACATGAGGAGTAAGTGCACAGTGGCTCCTGTTGTTGACTTTACAAATTGATACTCCTGTTTATGGCATCAGTAATCTCCCTATGCTCCAGTCAAGAGTTTCAAAGGCTATGGAAGCCTTTTGAGTTCTCCGACTGTTACCTTGTTTAGACAAGGCCATGGTCAAAGTGGAAGTTCTCTCCTCCCTTCAGAGAAAGGTACCTCCTTCTTTGAAGACCTGTTCTTTCCACTGGGATCTCACTCAGAGAGACATTTCATTTAGTTGTTTCTTCTTTTTTTTTTTTTCTCCAGAGGGTCCTGGCTTTCCATGCCTGAAATACTCTCATGAGCTTTTCAGCCAGATCCGAATGCCTTTAGGGCTGATTCTGAGGCCACAGTGCTGTTTAGGACATCTGCCATTCTATGAGTCTGCTGAGTATCTCCCTTCCCATGTTGGATCACTCTCCCCTTTATTTATTCTATCGGTTAGTATTAGCAGATACTAGACTTGTTTATGTGCTCCCTTTGACTCTTAGTCCTTTCATTATGATCAATTGTGAACTGAAATTGATCACTTGGAATAATGAGATGGCATTGGTACATGCCACCTTGATGGGATTCAATTGGAATCCCTTGGTATGGTTCTAACTCTACCATTTGGGGCAAGTCAACTTGAGCATTTTCCAAATTATACATCTCTTCCCTCTCTTATTCCCACTCTTATGTTTAACAGGGATGACATTTCAGTTAAATTTCAACACTTAAGAATAACTGTGTATTAATTACAGAATTAAACCAGTCATATTAAGTAGAACAGACAAAAAATACTAAGAGGGATAATGTATTAAGTTGTTCATTAACAGTCAGGGCTATGCTGATCAAGTCACCGTTTCTCATAGTGTCCATTTCACTTAAGCAGGTTTCCTTTTTGGTGTTCAGTCAGTCATCACGGATCAGGGAGAACATATGGTTTTTGTCCCTTTGGGACTGGCTTATTTCACTCAGCATGATGTGTTCCAGATTCCTCCATTTTGTTGCAGATGACTGGATTTCATTGTTTCTTACTGCGGTATAGTATTCTAAAGAGTACATATCCCATAATTTCTTTATCCAGTCTACCATTGATGGGCATTTAGGTTGGTTCCAGGTGTTGGATATTGTGAATTGTGCTGCAATAAACATTAGGTTGCATACTGGTTTTTTGTTTGCCAATTTCATTTCACTTGGGTAAATTCCAAGGAGTGGGATGGCTGGGTCGAACGGTAGGGCTATCTTCAGGTTTCTGAGGAATCTCCAGACTGACTTCCATAGTGGCTTGACCAGTTTGCATTCCCACCAACAGTGGGTTAGTGTCCCTTTTTCCCCACATCCTTGCCAGCATCTATTGTTGGTAGATTTCTGAATGTGAGCCATTCTAACCGGGGTGAGGTGAAACCTCATTGTGGTTTTGATTTGCATTTCCCTGATTGCTAGTGACCTTGAACATTTTTTCATGTGCCTGTTGGCCATTTGGATTTCCTCTTTAGAAAAATGTCTATTGAGGTCCTTGGCCCATCTCTTAAGTGGGTTGTTGGTTTTGTTTTTGTGGAGTTTCTTGATCTCTTTGTAGATTCTGGTTATTAACCCTTTATCTGTTGCATAGTTTGCAAATATTTTTCCCATTCTGTCGGTTGTCTCTTCACTTTCCTGACTGTTTCTTTTGCAGTACAGAAACTTCTCAATTTGATGCAATCCCAATAGTTGATTTTGGCTTTGACTTCCTGTGCCTCCGGGGTCTTTTCCAGAAACTCTTTGCCTGTGCCAATAATTGAAGGGTTTCTCCAATGTTCTCTAATAACTTGATGGTGTCAGTTCGTAGATTTAGGTCTTTAATCCATGTTGAGTGGATTTTTGTGTAAGGTGTAAGGTAGGGGTCTTGCTTGATGGTGCTGCACGTGGAAATCCAGTTTTCCCAGCACCATTTATTGAATAGAGTGTCCTTGCTCCAGGAATTGGTTTCAGATCCTTGATCAAATATAAGTTGGCTGTAGATGTTTGGGTTGATTTCTGGTGTTTCGATTCTGTTCCATTGGTCTATCCATCTGTTTCTGTACCAGTACCATGTTGTTTTGATTACGACTGCCCTGTAGTATGTCCTGAAATCTGGTATTGAGATGCCTCCGCTTTTTTGTTGTTGTTGTTATTGTTGTTGTTGTTGTACAAGATTGCTTTAGCTATTCGAGGTCTCTTGTGCCTCCATATAAATTTCAGCATCATTTTCTCTAGATCTGAGAAGAATGTCTTCGGTATCCTGATTGGAATTGCATTGAATCTATAAATTGCTTTAGGGAGAATGGACATTTTGATGATGTTGATTCTTCCAATCCATGAGCATGGAAAATTTTTCCATTTCTTGGTATCCTCTTCTATTTCTTTCTTTAAGATTTTGTAATTCTCATCATAGAGTTCTTTAACGTCCTTGGTTAGGTTTATTCCAAGGTATTTGATTGTTTTTTAAGCTATAGTGAATGGGATTGATCTTAGCAGTTCTTTCTCTGTCATGGCATTGCTTGTGTATACAAAGGCTGTTGATTTTTGTGCATTGATTTTATATCCTGCCACTTTGCCAAACTCCTCTATGAGTTCCAATAGTCTCTTAAAAGAGTTCTTTGGATCCTCTAAGTAAAGAATCATATCGTCTGCAAAGAAGGACAGTTTGACTTCTTCCTTCTCAATTTGTATTCCTTTAATTTCTTTTTCTTGTCTGATGGCTCTGGCTAAAACTTCCAGAACTATATTAAATAGCAGTGGTGAGAGTGGGCATCCCTGCCTGGTGCCAGATCTCAGTGGAAATGCTTCCAACTTTTCCCCATTCAATAGGATGCTGGCCGTGGTTTTTTCATAAATTGCTTTGATTATATTGAGGAATGTTCCTTCTATACCCAATTTGCTTAGAGTTTTCATCATGAAAGGGTGTTGTATTTTATCAAATGCTTTCTCTGCATCAATTGAGATAATCATATGGTTTTTCTTCTGCAGTCTGTTAATGTGGTGAATCACATTGATTGATTTGTGAATGTTGAACCATCCCTGCATACCAGGGATGAATTTCACTTGGTCTGGGTGGATGATTTTTCTGTTGTGTTGTTGTAGTCTATTGGCAAGAATTTTATTGAGGATTTTTGCATCTATGTTCATTAGGGATATGGGTCTACAATTTTCTTTCAGTGCTGCATCTTTCTCTGGCTTAGGGATTAAGGTGATGCTGGATTCATAGAAAGAATTTGGGAGGATTCCCTCTTTTTCGATTGTTCTGAATAGTTTGAGAAGAAATGGGATTAGTTCTTCTTTAAATGTCTGTTAGAATTCAGCAGCTGGCGCCGCGGCTCAACAGGCTAATCCTCTACCTAGCGGCGCTGGCACACTGGGTTCTAGTCCCTCTTGGGCCACCGGATTCTGTCCTGGTTGCCCCTCTTCCAGGCCAGCTCTCTGCTGTGGCCTGGGAGTGCAGTGGAGGATGGCCCAAGTGCTTTGGCCCTGCACCAGATGGGAGACCAGGATAAGCACCTGGCTCCTGCCATTGGATCAGCGTGGTGTGCCGGCCATGGTGGCCATTGGAGGGTGAACCAATGGCAAAAGTTAGACCTCTCTCTCTGTCTCTCACTGTCTACAGGAACATCTTAACTTGTTTGATCAAATACTGCCAGATATTTCAGCAAAATGAACTTGTAAGACACTGTTGTTGAAATAAATTCACACATAGAAATTTTAAACAATGTAAACCCAACAGTATTTTTAAATAGGTTACATTATGCCCAATGTCTTGCATAAAGTGTAATTCAGTTTATAATCCTTGAAAAATAGTAATAAGAATGAGCATTTCTGAAGAAAATCATTTCATAAATTTAAGTTATCTAAGAATTATAAAAAAAGAACAAAACAACACAAAATGCCAAAAAGAAGGATCAGTTTTCAATCCTAAAGTGTATTTTAGAATGCCAAAAGCATGGAAGTTATGGCTGAAGATTGTATACAAAGTTGCAGAAAGAATGTAACTTCTGCAGGAAATTACCTATTGGTCTCTTTGTGTATATAATAAAAGTGGAAGCCATGCAAGTTATTATAAAGGAAGATTTAAAATGGCATCATTCTCAACTGATATTGGGATGGTGTAATACAATCAAAAATCAGTAATTGAGTTAAGTAGTGCTGGAATACTAGATTGAATACAAAAAGAGATATTTTTGCTTATCAATTCTGGAAAACAAAGCTCTGAAAGATGAGCACATGTAATGTCTCAAAAGTATGAACTATCCAAAAATAAGACCACCTAAACTTTGGAAGACATCTGCAGGTTGTGACAACTGACATTGATGGAGAAGTGTATGGAAAAAGACGGGGATACTGGCAGAGATGGAGATAAAATTCATGTTCAAGAATAAAAAGGCAGCAAAGTGGAAATATGTCAGTAGGATTCAAGGTGATCTCCAGACTGACTTTGATTACAGGCAGCATCCCAGTGTGTTCCTTGATGGAAATTTGCTCAAGGGTGGCATCTTATCCAGAAGGTATCAAGTGTACAACTCTTCTGTGTTTCTCTAGAGCTTAATCATCTGTTTTCTAATGGTGATCTCTCAATCAGTGCTTGCCCACAGAATGACTATCCAGATCCTACCTTAGAGAGATGTGGTTTAGTGAGATCGTTGTGTGCTTTCTGTGCACCCAAAATTCACAAAGTAAATCTCCCAGTGCATGACACTAAGAGTGGGAACCTGGGTCCAGTGCTGCATCATAGTAGTTGAAGCCTCTGACTGGGATGCCAGCATCCCAGTTGGGCAGCGGTTCCAGTCTCAGCTGCTTCACTTCCAATGCAGCTCTCTGCTGATGCTTAGGAAAGCAATAGAAGACAGCCAAAGTTTCTGAGTCCACACCATGTAGGACACCCAGAAGAAGCTCCCATTTATTGCCCTAAGACAGCCTAGTTCCATTTATTGCCATCATTTGGGGTGTGAATCACTGGTGGAAGATGTCTTTCTTTCTCTTTTTCACTCTTTTCCTTTCTCCCCCTCTTTTTCTCCCTGCCCTCCTGTCCTACTCTCTCCCTCTCCCTCTCTCTCCCTCATACTTCTCTGCCTCCTTCTGAAACTCTGCATTTCCATTAAATTATAAATAAATAAAAACACTCATTAGAAATAAAGACTGGGGCCCTTTGGTCATTGATTAGGCAATGAGAGTACAGAGGGAATAACACCAATAAAACAAGGGCTCACTGCAGGCATGGAAAGCGAACACTCTGGCCAAAAAATAGGCTACATGGAGGATCTCTGTGAGACCCCAGTGGAAAGAAATGATCGTCAAAGAAGGATATACTCTTCTCAGAAGGGAAGAGAGAACATCCACTTTGCTTATGGCAGTGTCCAAATGCTGATGGAGTCTATGGTTACAGAGGACTTCCATAGCCTTGGCAGCCCATGGCAAGAGCCTTGGGTGATCACTGATATCATACGTACAAGTGTTAATTGTTAAAGGAACAACGAAGTCACTGTGCATTTATTCCCCATTTAGGAACTCCATCCATAATGAGTTGAACTGTGAAAATCGACTGCACTTTTTTCTCAAACTGTACTCTATATGTAGTGTGTCTGTGTGGATGCAAACTATTGAAATCTATATGTTATATGGAGTTGGTCCTCTGTATATAAAATCAAATAAAAATGTAACATAATGAAGAAGGAGATGGGAGAGGGTGAGGGAGGTGGGGTGAGAGTTGGGATGGGAGGGTGGGTTTAGGGGAAAGAAAAATATTTCTAAAGTTCTATCTATGAAAAAATGCATTTGTTGAATAAAAACTTTAAAATAAAAAAATTATGAAAAATGCAATCACTATATAAAAACTTAAGAAAACAAGGACTGCTGCTTGCTCTTGTTGAAAGTGAGGATGCAGCAAGCATGTGCTATATATAAAGGTCAGAGTAGTCTTTATAATACATGGAAACCTCTGGAATCTTGCTCACCACTTCCAAGTGTGGAGAAACCATGAAGAATGAATTTGCGGTGTTAAAATGATACAAGCAAAAAAGGTAGGATTTAAAGCACCAGGAGTAGTTTCAGAGAGTAGCCTGTAGGGCTTTGTTAGGAGAAAAAGTACATGTACTCATCAGTATGCAAGGTAGTCAGAGAGATGAAGTAATAACTCTGGCTAACATGAGGAAGATGGGCATGAATAAAGGCTTATAATTTCCTAGATGTTATTTTATATGCTATTTCAACATCAAATTAGGGCTATTTGCCTAAACTAGCTATGTCCGTTATTCCAGAAGGTCCTTATGAATCAGAAATAACTGAACTCAGGATGATGTTCTTGTACATTTCTTGCCAGATATGGACCAGTGCATGAAGTGTCTGCATCATCAGTATGCCAGCGCAGAGCGAAACCAGTGCTTCCACAAAAAAGTGACCTTTCTGTCTTTTGAAGATCCCCTGGGGATGACCTTGGTCTGCACAGCTCTGTGCTTCTCTGTCCTCACTGCTGTGGTTCTTGGGGTCTTTGTGAAGCACCGAGACACTCCCCTAGTCAAGGCCAACAATCGTTGTCTCAGCTACATCCTGCTCATCGCCCTCATCTTCTGCTTCCTCTGCTCCTTATTGTTTATTGGTCGTCCCAACACAACCACCTGTGTCCTCCAGCAGACCACGTTTGGAGTGGTGTTCACCATGGCTGTTTCCACTGTCCTGGCCAAAACTACCACTGTGGTTCTGGCCTTCAAGGTCACTGCCCCAGGGAGAAGGATGAGACAGTGGCTGATATCAGGGGTACCTAACTCCATTATTCCCATCTGCTCCCTGATCCAATTGGCTCTCTGTGCCATCTGGCTTGGGAATTCTCCTCCCTTTATTGACACAGATGCACACTCAGAGCATGGTCACATCATCCTGGTGTGCAAGAAGGGCTCAGTCATTTCCTTCTACTGTGTCCTGGGCTACCTGGGCTCCTTGGCCATGGCAAGCTTCACTGTGGCTTTCCTAGCCAGGAATCTGCCTGACAAGTTCAATGAAGCCAAGTTCCTGACATTCAGCATGCTGGTGTTCTGCAGTGTCTGGGTGACCTTCCTGCCTGTCTACCACAGCACCAAGGGGAAGGTCATGGTGGCTGTGGAGGTCTTCTCCATCTTGTGCTCCAGTGTGGGGCTCCTGGGCTGCATCTTTGTCCCCAAGTGCTACATTATTCTCCTAAGACCTGAGAAGAATGCTTTGAAAGGATTAAGGGATAGAAGAATTTCTAAGGAAACATATATTCTCAGGTGTAGCTCTTAGGCTCTCTCAGTTTTATTGGTTAGAATCTAAAATTATAAAACTGATTTTGCATTCTGATGTTAAAAATAACTTATATAATGTACCCTCCTCATGAACAATTTATACTTTTCTTAATATGTTTTTGTTCTGAAGGTCCAATTTACAGAAAATGAAGATAGAGAGTGGGAGAAACCTTCCATCTGGTAATGGAATCTGAAGATATCTGTAGTGGCCCAGTGCTAGTTCATGCCAAAGCAAGGAGATTAATTCAGATTTTCATGTGCGTGTCAAGGACAGAAAGGCTTAGGCCATCTTCCAAAGCATTTTCTAGATCTTAACAAAAAGCTTGATTGCAAGTGGAGCGGATAAGACATGAACTGGCACCAACATGGGATGTCGGGGTTATAGGTGCTACTTATAGCCACTATACCCCCATGCTGGACCTATTCCTTCTCTCTTCAAAATAATACTATGAACTAATTTATTAGTCTGGGTTTTATGTTCATAAGCACAAAACCAATCTCAGATAAAGGCTCCCCTTGAAACTTTTCATTTCTTTTCAATCCTGTATTTTCAATGTCAACTCATTGACATTGTCATATTCATATTTTAATAAAATGAGTTACACATTTCTTTGCTGTTTTTATTAATTCATTAGTCTATATTAAAATAAGCTTATTAATATAGTTGAAATATTTCAGCGCAATCTTTAGACATGTTAAATCATTATAATGTGTAATTCATTGTCAAGAAAATGCTGAATTATATATCATTTCATATGAATTTAAAATGATGTAAAAAAATAAATAAATAAAATGATGTGATAATCACACATCAAGTTTTCATTATACATAGAAGTGATTCTGTAAACTTCTTTTCCATCTCTTCATTTCTATTTATTATCAATCTGGCTTTGATTTACTTTTGCTAATACCAGACGTAAGAAAGTGATTTTTGATGTAATCCAATTGTGAATATTGGCTTTGACTTCCTGTACCTCTGGGGTCTATTCCAAGAAATCTTTACCTGTGCCTATATCTTGCAGGGTTTCTTTGATGTCCTCTAATAATTTGAAAGTGCCGGGTCATAGTGAGTGGATTTTTGTGTAAGATATAAGGTAGGGGTCTTGCTTCATGCTTCTGCATGGGTAATCCATTTTTCCAGCACTATTTGTTGAATGGACTGTCCTTTCTTCAGGAATTTGTTTTAGCTCCTTGATCAAATATAAGTTGGCTATAGATGTTTGGATTGATTTCTGGTGTTTCCATTCTGTTCCATTGTTCTACCCATCCATTGTGATACCAGGCTGTTTTGATTATAGATCCACTGCAGTAAGTCTTGAAATCTGGTATTGTGGTGCCTCTGGCTTTGTTTTTGTTGTACAAGATTGCTTTAGCTATTTCAGGTCTCCTGTGCTTCCATATGAATTTCAGCATCATTCTTTCAAGATCTGAGAATTTCTTTGGCATTTTGATTGGTATCACACTGAATCTATAAATTGCTTTTGGGAGAATGGAAGTTTTGATGATATTGATTCTTCCAATCCATGTGCATGGAAGAATTTTCCATTTTTTGGTATCCTCTTCTATTTCTTTCTTTAAGATTTTATAATTCTCTGGCCAGTGCCATGGCTCAATAGGCTAATCTTCCACCGGCGGTGCCAGCACACCAAGTTCTAGTCCCAGTCGGAGCACCGGATTCTGTCCTGGTTGCCCCTCTTCCAGGGCAGCTCTCTGTTATGGCCCAGGAGTGCAGTGGAGGATTACCCAAGTGTTTTGGCCCTGCACCCGCATGGGAGACCAGGAGAAGCACCTGGCTCCTGGCTTCGGAACAGCACAATGTGCCAGCTGCAGCGCGCCGGCTGCAACGGCCATTGGAGGGTGAACCAACCACAAAAAGGAAGACCTTTCTCTCTGTCTCTCTCTCTCACTGTCCACTCTGCCTTTTCAAAAAAAAAAAGATTTTATAATTCTCATTGTAGAGATCTTTGATGTCCTTTGTTAAGTTTATTCAAAGGTACTTGATTTTTTTTGTAGCTCTTGTGAATGGGATATAATTTATTTCTCAGCCATGGCATTGCCTGTGTATACAAAGGCTGTTTGCTTTTTGTGCATTGACTTTATATCCTGCTACTTTGCCAAACTCTTCTATGAGTTCCAATAGTCTCTTAACAGAGTTCTTTGGATCCCCTAAATAAAGAGTCATATCATCTGCAAAGAGGGATAATTGTACTTCTTCCTTTGCAATTTGTATCCCTTTAATTTCTTTTTCTTGACTAATGGCTGTGGATAAAACTTCCAGAACTCTACTGATTAGCAGTGGTGAGAGTGGGCATCCCTGTCTGGTACCAGATCTCAGTGGAAATGCTTCCAACTTTTCCCCATTCAATAAGGTTTTGTCCGTGGGTTTTTCATAAATTGTTTTGATTGTGTTGAGGAATGTTTGTTCCACACCCAATTTGCTTAGAGTTTTCATCATGAAAACTTTAGGTAAGTTTTCATCATGAAAGGGTGTTGTATTTTATCAAATGCTTTCTCAGCATCTATTGAGATAATCATATGGTTTTTCTTCTGCAGTCTGTTAATGTGGTGTATCACATTGATTGATTTGCGAAAGTTGAACCATCCCATTTTTGTATCGTAAGTCAAATAATGATTCTTTCTTCTTACAATAATGAGTCTGTTGTCCATTTTCTTAGAACCATTGACCTTGTATTTTAAGTTGCTTCTAGATTCTGTCTAGACACACATAGCATATGTTTTTTCTGATACTGGCTCATTTCTTTAAGTATCATGGATGCCAGCTGCATCAATGTTGTTGCAAAAGAGAGGATTCTTTTTTTTTCTACTACTGATAAACATTCTTAGAGTATACATGCCAGGATTTCTTTATCCGGTCATCAGTTGATGGATATCTGGGTTGATTCCATATCTTAGCTATTTTCAATTGAGCTGCAATGAACTTGGGGGTACAGATGACCCCTTTTCATGCTGATTTCATTTTGTTTGGGTAAATTTCTAGGAGTCAGTTGTCTTGGTCTCATGGCAGATCTATTTTCTTTCTCAGAAATTTCCATACTGCATTCCACAATGACTGCATCAGTTTACATACTCATCAACTGTGGATTAGGCTACCTTTTTTCCTGAGTCCTCTCCAGAATAGGTTGTTAATTGATTTCTGTATGAGAGCCATTATGATGGGTAAGGTGAAACCTGATGGTGGTTTTGATTTCATTTCCCTGATGGCTAGTAGTCCTGAGAATTTTTAAGTGACTTTGGCCTTTTCAGTTTCTTCTTTTTAAAAAATGCATGATGAAGGTGTTTCCCATTACTTAACTGGATGTTTAGTTTTTTTGTTGTTGAATTCCTTTCACTCTTACAGGGTTCTTGCTATAGAACAGCCGGGACTTGAGCCTACGAAATGTGGGATGCTAGCACTTAAGGTGGAAACTTAACATACTACACCACAGCCCAGCTCCAGTTTCCATTATTCTTTTTTTATTTCTTTTATTTATTTATTTTTTGACAGGCAGAGTGGACAGTGAGAGAGACAGAGAGAAAGGTCTTCCTTTTGCCATTGGTTCACCCTCCAATGGCCGCTGTGGCCGGCGTGCTGCGGCCAGCTCACCGCACTGATCCAAAGCCAGGAGCCAGGTGCTTATCCTGGTCTCCCCTGGGGTGCAGGGCCCAGGCACTTGGGCCATCCTCCACTGCACTCCCGGGCCATAGCAGAGAGCTGGCCTGGAAGAGGGGCAACCGGGAGAGAATCTGGTGCCCCGACTGGGACTAGAACCCAGTGTGCCGGTGCTGCAAGGCGGAGCATTAGCCTATTGAACCACAGCGCTGGCCTGCATTATTCTTAAAGATAAGTGGAAAAGCACCAGATCATGTAGATTCTAATCATCTTTTGATAGCCTTTACCCCAATAGAGGTTTCTTAAATTAAATGTCCCCATCCTCTCTAGTACAGTCATCAGTTTTTCATAGAATTACTTCTTTCTCCCCAAAACCTCCATCAGTGTCTTCAGCAGCTATAGTCTGCGAAACACTTTAGTAGGAGTTATCATAACTTTATGTGGCTGTCTCAACATAGCAACACTTCCTGAGTCATACTTAATTGTGTATGAATAGCCATTAGCATGTGTGTCTTCTAATATCCAAGTCAATTGGTATCTGAGTCTTTGCATTTTACAATTGTGTGTGTGTAAAGGCAAGATCACTGGAATTGAAATTCTATATTTTTGCATGTAAAAACTAATTCCCAAGTTAATGTGCCAATGATATCTCATTATAATTCTATCATCCATAGCTAGATCATATGTTTATGTATTTTCTGAGTAGCATATTCCATGCTGACTTACCTTTCATGAGTTGTCTGTTGTATGATAGGCTTGTTTATTTCATTAAAATGAAACACGTTGACATTTAGCTTTAAATTCAATGTGAAATTGGCCTGTTTTCAGTTACTGTTCCATAGTATCCTTAAGGCTAATAAATCTAAGCACTTATAAAGGAGAAAGGAAAACCAACTGCAATCCCATTGCTCAGAGGCCTGCTCCTATCTAAATAGTCTTTCAGACTTCCTGTACACACACATGTTTATTTCTGCAGGGCCATCTGGTGTTCCCATGGAGATCGCTTCCATTACATGGATGTTTCAGTTCACCCAGTCTTGACTTGGAGCTGTCTACTGCTATTATGCCCAGGTCTCCCTTCCTTTCAGTCAGGTCAATACCGACCACAACACTAGAGGGAGCCTGAGGCCGAAGATGGATTTGAACATTCCTGCAAGAATGCAGTGATGCAACTGAGGTGATTTGGGGTGGGTATAGGGCTCTTTCTTGTAGAACCTCTCAAGTCAGCTCCTCCAGAGTAACACCTGAAATTCGCAGAGAGCCACACATCAGCCATAATGAATACCCCCACATCAATCTGCAGCCAAAGTCAGGAGGCTCAGCACTGTGAGCACAAGTTTCTCATGAGAGGACAGAGGCAGGAACCATGTGCTGTACAGGAATATGGG